TAAATGCACTACTTTATTAAAATATGTTATAAAAACATAAGTAAAGATTTAAGTTATTTAATTCAAATGGCTTTCAAAAAAGTTAGTTTTTTTCTCAACAAAAACTTTAATGGTTTTGAACTGTTTAAAGTCTTCGCTTATAAAATTTAACTTTTTTTTTAAATTTTAACTTTTTTTATTTTTACTTATAAAAAGCACTTATATAGTTAAATAATATAAATAAAAAATTATACAACTTTCAATAAATAAATTTCAAGTGCGCTGTTGTTTTAGAGAGTTTAAGACCTCCTCTTAGTGTAATAAATTTTGAAATTTTTTCAATCTTGCTTATATGTATAGCAAAAAAATAATAATATAGCCAAAAAGATTTCTAAAATTTAAAATAAAATTTTAAAGTTTTCTCATTTTATAGATATATAAGATAATATAAGATAAATAAAATTTAAAATAAAATTTTAAAGTTTTCTCATTTTATAGATATATAGATATACGCGATTATTCCATATAATGCCTGCAAACTCAATATATGCTAAAGACATTTACACTTAAAGACATGTCAAAGCAATTAAATTAATGCGGAAGTACATTAAAATTTATTGTTTTTTAAAAAAACCGCAATAATAATGACTAGAAAGTTTTTTTAAATTAGTGGTGTTTTTGTTTTATTAAAAAACATTTTTAAAACATGCGTAAGTGTTGCTACATCGACTATCTTATAGCCTGCTGCTACAAGGGAGTGTTGCTACATCGACTATCTTATAGCCTGACGCGCATAAGAGTGCTGCTACATTGACTGACAAATAACTTGACTTGCAAGGGAGTGCTGCTACATCGACTGACAAATAGCCTGACTCACAAGGGAGTGCTGCTAAATTGACTGACAAATAGCCTGACTCGCAAGGGAGTGTTGCTACATCGATATAGGGTATATATATACCCTCAGTCGTTACTTATTGTTATTATCATTATATATATATATATATATATATATATATATATATATATATATATATATATATATATATATATATATATATATATATATATATATATATATATATATATATATAATGATAATAACAATGATAATAATAATTAATGAGGGCTTCAAATTGTCAAAAATCAAATAAAAGTTGCTTAATGATGCGCTTTTTTGCAATTATTTTCTTTAAAATTGAAACAAATAGTAGCAGATTCGACAAGATATGACACCTGCCCGCACAGCTCATACAGTCAAAGCACGAATGAAAGAAAACTAACTAATAACAATTGTCATGGCTTGATCATCAAATTCCAAATAATCCATAATTAGGCTAAAGGAAGAATTAGATACTATATAAAGAAAATTTGGAATATTTTTCAGATTTTAAATCTCTTCATTTTTAACAAATCAGCTAAAAATAAGTAATAACAAATAATGGAAAGATAATCAAAAACTTGTTAATTAAAATAAAAGCATTTATATTTTTATAAAATATGAAAAAAATAAAAATGATATAACAAATATGAAAGTTTTAGAATTATGTAAGTTTTTATTTTTTTTTTTTTTAATTCACCTCCTCAAGGCCGAGAAGGCCGCTACAGACGAGGAGGCTACTTATTTGTGGCTATAACCCTCTCTCAACTCTATAACTCCGAAACACGAACCTTGACGAACAAGGCTGCTGCGCGGAGAAACGAGTTGAATTAAAAGAATTAAATAAGGTAATCAAATTAAGATAATCAAATTAAATAAAATATTAAAAAAAAATGAATAAAACTAACTGAGAAAAGAATCAATGTTAAACATATTAACATCAATATAACAATAAATAAAAAAAAACTGTCTAAGAAACTAATACAACTCTATATACCACGTTAACCGAGAAAAATGAAAAAACTATAAATGGATGTAAAAAGCTAAACAATGCTATTGTTATGATAAAATTAATGTAATAAAATATCAGACCAATAACCTAAAAATTTTTTTGTTCTTCAAAAATTTTCTTCTAATCCAAGAAGTCGTTATGGTCTTATCGCAGAAAACTGCAGAATAGGATATTTTTAGGAAATTCATACCTCCTTCCTTTCTAATGTCACTTATCTTGCCAGAGCTGGATCCAGAGATTTGGGTGGCATCGAACCTCAGACATTCTTGATTTTGAGCTAGTATTCTAACCACTGTGCCATCGCTTCCAAAATTGTAACAAAAAAAATCTAATAACTTATTGCATTTTAGATTGTTGCATTTGTTTTATTTAATTTAAAAATTGACTAAATTTTATTAATATAAAATTTAGTTTGAATAAAGTATAATTAAATCAAAATTTTTATTTTAGATTGAAATAGATATAGAACCTAATGATAAAGTATGTCTTTGTATTTTTTATCTTTTAATAATGTATTGTGTAATAACTTTTTGACTTAAATTAGTTTTTTCAATAATTTTTTTTTAAAAAAAAGGTTGAAAGAATAAAGGAACGCGTTGAAGAAAAAGAAGGAATTCCACCAGCACAACAGAGGTTTCGGTTCATTGTTAAATTTCAATTACTATTTTTTTAAATTGGAGTAACGCAATCATTTTTATAAAATTATAAATATTACATTATTAAATATTATATTAAAAATAAGTTTTGATAATATATATATATATATATATATATATATATATATATATATATATATATATATATATATATATATATATATATATATATATATATATATATATATATATATATATATATATATATATATATATATATATATATATATATATATATATATATATATATATATATATATATATGACTATAATAATGGCGTGGATATATATCAGGGCTGGAATAAACACAAAAAAATCTAATTGCAAATTTTTTTTTTGAAACAAACTCTAACTTTGTTACGCTGCTTTATTGCTGTTTAATACAGTTTACAACATTGATAATGTAACGTGTTTAAAATAAAATGAAATAAGTAATTTGAATTGTTCTAATTAATATATTAAAACATTGGCATAAACTTTAAGCGTAATATTTGCACAAAAACATGCTCTATCTATAGACTAAACAAGAAAGATCAAATCAAAAAAAAAAAAAAAACCAATAAATATAAAAAAATACTAAACATATTAGATACCACGTTTATACTAATTTATTGCTTCTTGATCAGTGTTAAAAATTTAAGTATAATTATTTTTTAATTTAAAGGGTTTTTAAGTTGATGTTTTCATTAAATTTTTTTGTTCAAATTGTTTTGCAATAAAATAAAGTAAGAAAAAAAATTTGGTTTAATAAAGTCAAATTATATTTCCATAAGTTTAGGTATATGCTAAAAAATTTTTTTTGGAAAAAAAATATTTTAAAAAGAAGTAGTATAGTTTTTTTATTTTAATTTAAATTTTTTGTAAATTAATTTTTATCACTAGTTTTATCTTTCTACTTTTTAAACTGTTTTTATTTTAAATTAATTATTTATTTTAATTATTTTTTAAACTAAAGCCTTTACAAAAAATTATCATCTATTAAAAATGTTTACAATTTAAGTAAAACTTTCTTTCTCACTTTTTTTTTTAAATTATTCACCTCCTCAAGGCCAAGATGGCCGCTACAGTTGAGGAAGCTACTTTTGTGGTTACAACCCTCTCTCAACTTTATAACTCCGAAACACGAACCTCAAGTTGAGCACTGTACACGAAACAAGTTGAGCACTGTACTACCAGGGATGTGGTGGAGATCAAACTCGAAACTTCTCGCTTATGCGGCGATCACTCTAACCACTACACCACTACCTTGTACTTCTAAATCTGATATTGTTACTGTAGCTAGATCTATGTATGACTTTCTGGAAAAATCATTGGTATGCCTCTGGGTATTACGGATGTTGCTGCTGTTTCCATTCAATTAGATTTAAAAAAATATTATTGTCAGCCAAAGTTGAATTTCTTTTAGATTTTTTCAATTTTTTTTTTTAGTTATAAGTTTCAAATTCATGATTACTTGCATATTTATAGAAAATATTTAATCTTGATATTTTTCTCAAAAAAAGCAATAGGCTTTTTGGTTAAGCAACTTTTTAATATTTAAATTAGTTTAAAAATGTGTTTTAGACAGTATAATAAAAGGAGTAATAAAAATGTTATAAAAACTTAAACATTAGAATGATTATGTAAAAAAGTTTGTTACAAAAGTTTGAATGACAGTTATGTTCGATGAATGACAATTATGTTTGATGAATGACAGTTATGTTCGATGAATGACAGTTATGTTCGATAAAAGGGCTAATAATGAAATAAATTTAGATTTAAAACAAAGAAAAATTTATTTGTTTCAATTTTATTTAAAAATATATAATTTTTTTTTTACTAAAAATTAAGTTACTTGTAAGCGTGTTTTAAGACTTTTTTTAATGTACGCTAAAGTTTTTTTCATAAGGTACGTGAGCGTGCAACGATATTTTTAATATATAAATATTTTCAATAAATGGAAATCTAAAATAATCTCTGCTTTCAGAACAAAATTGCTGGTAAAGTGATTAAATAGAGTTAATATTTTTGCAATAGGTAATATTTTTTATTTGTTACTTACTAACTTTTCAAAAACAAAAAGTCTTTGTGGCAATGTTGCAGTTACAAATTTAAGAAATAAAATTTAACATATTTTCATTAATTTTTAACATGATTTTATTTAAAAAATTTTTAACATATTCTAATTAATTTATACACATGTTGAGTAAAAAAAGAAATGAGTTTTTATTAAATATTAAAAAAAAAGTAATATTTAATATAGTTATTTAATATTAAAAAAACATTCCATGATATATTTACATAATAGAGTTAATTTTTTAATTAAACTAATTTTGCGGTCATTTATTATATTGTAGTAGTTTATAAAACACATAAAAGCGCACTTAGAAAACACATAAAAGCACACTTAGAAAACACATATATATAAAAGCACATCTAGATAAATATAATTTATTTCTTTTAAAATGTTTTTTATTTATTTTAATTAATAGTTTTTTTTTCTTTAGGCTCATATTTAGTGGAAAACAGATGTGAGTATTTTGTTGAATTGTTTTTTGAATTATTTATAGCTAAAGTATTATATGTATTTATTTTGTAATTTTGTATGTGTGTACAAAACCATATTGGGTTGGCTGGTTTTGTTTAACTTTTATTATTCTGCAAGCCATTAAATGTTTTTGGCATACAAATATTTTCTTTTGTACCCTTAATTCAAAATGATCCACCGTTGTATTTACACTAACAGATTTCCTCATTATTTATTTTTTTAAATTTTTATGGGTGAAGTTTTACAGAATTAAACACTTAGATAAATTTTTATATACAATAATTCATCAACTAGCACTATTAAATGTGCCATCAACTAGCACTACTAAATGAATCAGTGTTTTTTAAAACAGCTGATTTGACATTTTTTTTGAAATTCACATTTTGTGTGTTTTGTGTTCTTCTATGAGCTTTATCAATTTATGTTAAAAATGTGTTTAAATTTTATCTTCTTACACAAATAAAGCCACCTGAAAGTTTTTGATTTTCTAAAAAAAGGATAATTTGCTTCAATTACGCCCTTTTTAAAAAAATCACTCTCCAGCTGAGTAGTATTTTTAGGCGCAATATGCAGAAAATGTAAATTGTTTATCGCAGGTTGTTGTTATTATTAGTTTTTTAATGGATCTCGTTATTCCAAGTCCTAGTAAAAGGAAAGAAAGTTATCCTTGTAAGTACAAACATAACAAAATAAAACAAGCACGTTTAATGGGACAGTCATGCATAAATCATAAGGGAAATGAATTTCCACCAAAGTACCCTAAGTTTACTTGCAGGTAAGTTTCAATTAATTAAAAATTTATATAATAGCATATTTTAAAATATTTTAATCCTAAAACCTAACCCTAAGTTAAAAACCAGCTAAAATACTTAGGTATGGGTATACCTGTACAGGTATGATGAGTAAAATCATTTAAAAGTTAATAATCTACAGGTTTTACAAATTAAACCTTTCTTTCATAGTATTATGATTTTTTTTCCAGATAGTTAACAGACACTGAATAGTTAAATCTTGTTATAGTTAGTCTAGGTCTATATAGTTCTTGAGAGTATAACATATGTGAAAGCACTAAAAAGTCAAAAACTCTTAACATGATTTGGTCTATTTCCTTACAACTTGTGGCAATGTTGTTCTCTGTTTAAGTTTATAAATAATGTCTTAAAAATGCACCTTAAAAAAAAATATAAAAAGTATATAAAAAGTGTTTGGACAACTTTGGAGAGGCTAACTGTAAGGATGTCTTTTTCCAATATTTATGATATATAAAGCAAAGACAAACAAGATTTTTATATTCAAGCATTAAATTTTACTAAAGTTAAAAGAGTGCCACATCAAAAGGATTTTGAAAAACCAAATAGCTTCTTCCATCATGTGATTTCAGGCAATATATGCATAGAGATATGTTGCAGTGCACTTTTATCTGTCTTAAGTATTAGTGAAAAATAATTACGAAGAATAGGGAACCTTGAGGTGATTGGAATAACCCCGTGTAGATAAAAGAGGAAAAGGTGTTACTAATTGTCTTTCTCAGAATTTTTATGACATTGCTAGTAGTCACATAAAAACATTTCCACTCAAGGAATCACAATACTCAGGCGAAAAAGTATATTATCTCAATGCAAGTTTTAATGTAAAGAAAATGTGGCAACTTTTTTGTGAAAAAATCCAGATTTAAAAGTAAGCAAGTCTTTTTACTGAAACCATTTTAAAACAAATAAAAAACTTTCGGTTTATGCGCATACAAGTGGATACTTGTTGCACGTGTGAAGAATTAAATCTTAGATTGAAATCACCACATTTTAATGGTGTAGCTAAAAGAGAAGTGCAGACTGATTCAGATGTTCATTAGCACAGGAGGAAAAAAATTTACAATGCTTTAAAACATGAAACATCAGAAGGTGGCTTAAAAAAGGAGCACATTCTATTATTGGCATTTGACTATATGAAGACAATAAGCTTGCCAAAAATACCTGTCCAATATTTATAAAACTTGTTGAAGAATTCAAGTCATTATAAAACTTGTTGAAGAATTCAACAAGTTTTATAATGAGCTGTACTCCTGGTCAACTAATAAATGTAAGAATCTTTCTGATAGTGACTTTGAGGAGGAACTAGATTAATATGCTGAGACTTACTGATAGCTATTTTAGTTATTAAATCATATATATATATATATATATTATATATATATATATATATATATATATATATATATATATATATATATATATATATATTAGTGATGTACCGATTGCACATTTTTGGCTGATACCGATACCGATGCCGATGGATAGGAAAAGGCCGATACCGATAAATTAACTAGCTATTATAATTTTGAAAAAAATAATAATAGCTATTTATAAAACCATACAACTTTAAATCGTGTAAAATTTTTCATGGAATCAAAACTGGTAAGCAAATACTTGGACCCAAATCAGAGTCAAACCTTTATTTTAAAAAATATTAGAAAAGCTCAATTAAATAAATATACATTTTTTACTTTCTTTTAACTATGAAAAGAAAACTTTCAAAAAATAACTACAATTTTAGAGGAACACTTTTTATTTCAATTTAAAAAAAAAAATGGTATTAAGATAAGCAGTTTACTTAAAATATTAGGCTCTTTATAAAAAACAAATAAAAATAACATTTATAACATGAAATATATACATTTTCTCAAAATAAAATAAGAGACTTCAAAATCAAATACAAAAGAAAATAATAGCTTTAAGATTCTAAAGGAAGCACCAATAGCAGTTGTAACAATATTTAGTATTTAAAATTGTGTATACCAATATTGTAATGTAAAAACATAAGCATTTCTCCTGTTTCCGGAGCCAACCTACTTCGTCGTGGAGAAAAAATTTGTCCTCCACAACTAAATAATCGTTCACTTTCAACAGAAGATGGAGGGCATGATAAATACTTCTGAGCTATTGGAGCTAATTGTTTGAAGTTATTTCTATTTGCTCCCCACCATACTATAGGACTATCTTGTTGCATGATTATGTCTTGACTCAAATACATTAAAACTTCATTTTTCAATTTTATATAATGTTTGCTTTCTGTTTCTTGCAGAACTTCAGATATGGATGTGTTTTCAATTAAAGTGTTTTTATTTTTAATAAAATTTTCAAAGCATTTTGAAAAATCGAAATCTAGATTTGTTGTACTTGATGAAGAACTGACCTCAGGTTGAAATTCAATATGATCATTTTGTTGAAAACTTTTTGAGCAATCTACAAACCATTTAATAATATTTTCAAGATAACTGTCAGCTTCTTCGGTTGGAAAAAAATTATTTTAATACCTTGGATCTAAAAATGTGGCTAAAATGAGATTTTTGTCATTAAGATATTTTTCAAATCTTTCTTTTGCTGAGTTTTTACATTCTTTTAAAATTGTTCCTAATCCAAAAAACAAGGGAGACTTTTCAGCTTGAATTAACATGGTTTGTATAACTCACTTAATAAATTCGTTATATCATTAAACATTTTTAAAAATTGTTGTAATTTTTCTAAAATAATCCATTCATTGTTTTCCAAGGACTTTAGTTTAGAGTTATCATTATCACAACAAAATGGGATTAAAGCACGCTTCTGTTCAAAAATTCTTTCAAACATAAAGTATTGACTATTTCATCTTGTTGCAATGTCTTGTTTAAACCTATTTTGTGGCACTTGATATTGAGTTTGATATTTTCGATACGCTTCAAAAGAAGATGGAGAATGATTAAAATGGGTTACTATGTTTTTACAAGTTGTTGATATATTTTTGATATATATCTGGGCAAATACAGTGTCATTCAACACAAGTTGCAAAATGTGTAAAAAACACGGCAAGCTATTGTAACCTGCCTCTCTTATTCCAGCTGCCATGTTAGCTGCATTATCTCTAGCAACTAAATGTACCTTTAAAGCTGGAATAAAAAAATCATTCATAGAACTTTGAATTGCTTCGCATATATTTTTGGCAGTATGAGATACATTAAATTGACAAACTCGAAGAACTGCTGACTTTTGATGAAATTCATTAGTTAACCAATGAGCTGTCAAGCTAAGAAACGAGCATTTTCCGTTGGTAGATGCCCATCCATCAGTTGTAAATGAAATGTAAGAAGCATCATTTATTTCTTTTTGGATATTTTGTCTGACTTTGTCATATATATTTTGAAAAACAGTGTTTTTAATGTATTTTCTACTTGGTATACAATAGTTAGGACATATATATGATTTAGCAATCTTTGAAATCCGATGTCTTCTACTATTGAAAAAGGTTGAATATCAACTGCAATCATTTCTGCAATATAGTTATTAATTAATTTAGATCTGTGATCATTAATGTCCCAGGGTTTTTTTCTCGCAAGTGTTTCAAACAAAGTTTGTTGGGATTGTTTTGAGCAACTTGCTTCAGTTGACTTGATTATCTTGAACACATTTTTTCACTTTCTGCTTTTCTTTTGTTTTCTTCGTTAAGTTTTAACCCTTTGCTTGCTGTTTCTTTATGTTTTATATTTATATGACACAACATATTTGTTTTGTTAATAGATTTAGATTTTTTTTCTTTGTTACCTCTTGAAACCTTCAGTTTGCATGTATTACATATTGCAATTGAGGTATCTTCAGGAGAAATGGTAAAATATTTCCACACCCAACTACGTGATTTTATTGGAATACCTTTTCCAAACAAAGCTGCTGCCATTCTGAGTATATTTTTGATTCAGTAACTTTATTAATTTATTACTTATTAACTTATTAGTAATTTAGATATCTAAACAACAATCATATAGAAATATAGAAGGCAATACTTGGATACATAAAGATAACAATGCTTAAATAGGTTACTTTTAAGTATAGCAATAGAACAATACAAAATGAAATTATTTTAAAAACAACATTACGGTAATAAAAGTATAAATACATTCAGCCGATGCTGATTATAATAAAAATTTTAAAGAACTTTTCAAGAATTTTAAAAGACTTTTAGTCTTTTATTTTATTTTATTATAATAAAAATTTTTAGGGAAGAGGGACAATCTTTTTTTGAACGTTATAAGAGTTATAAGACGAAGTTCTCGGGACTCGGAGTAACCCGGAGTTCTAAGAAGGAGTTATAAGACGGAGTTCTCGGGACTCCACTTATATAAATTTATATATACTTTTGTATATATAATATTTACTTATGCCTTTAACTTATGCCAACGATGTCATCGTGATGCCAACGATGTCAAAGTCATCGTAAATAATGAGCTGATTACAAAAGTTAACATGAACGAGAACGGTGTAAAAACAAAATTTAAAGAAACAATAGCATTTCTTGCAGAAAATGCAGAGTCATTCCCTGTTGAGGATGATTTTGACATTATTAATATTTAAATAACCTTTTCTAATACACATTTCTTATAATATATTATATAAAAACACAATGATTTTAAAACAATGACAAAATTTTTTGGCTAAAATAATTTAAATGCTTTTGGTTTTAATTAATCTTCAGAGCTGAATCCTATTATAATTTGTATTTTATCATTTTTATGGGCAAAGTTTTATGATTAGCAGTATTAAAAGCATTTGTAAAACCAATAAAGACTTCCAAAATAAACTTTTCTTTATCAAAAAATGAGCTGGTTTTGTCTATGAGGTCTAAGATTGTAATAAAGATTATGGTACCAATGTGGTGAGTATCAAACTCGAAACTTCGAGCTTAAAAGGCGTTCTACCACAGTTAATGAATTGAAACAATGAAGTTAGAAAAACATTTATATTAATATTATAATGTACTCAGTAGGAACCCGGAGCTACAAGACGGAGTTCAAAAAAGTTTATGTCCGTAAATGAGAAAAAATTAATAAATAAAAATAATTTTATGACATTAAAATCACGTGCTAAGTTTTTTTTATTTAAAACAAGGCTTGCATAAATATATTAATAAGACAAATTATAATATTTTTGTAAATTTTGACTTTTTTGGTAAACTCAAGATTAATAAAAATAAAAAATATTTTTAAATAGATTTTATTTATTTTAGTGTAAAATATGAATCACAGAGTTTTCAGTGTTAAAATAAAGGAACTTAGATTGCTTTTTTATTGTCAAAAAAATATTTGACCAAACAAATTTTTTGTTCCATAATAAGATGGTGTAAGTATATTAACTCAACTATATTACTCTTTTATACACTTTCATATTAATTATGCTAATATTGCATAGGGTAGTTACCATAAAAGTAAATTTAAGCCACTTTATTGTCAGCAGAAGCATATTGCACGTCTTATAAACGACTCCGTCTTATCACTCTCTGAGTTCTCTGGGACTCCAGGACATCGGGCTTAAAAACAATAAGTTCCAAGTCATTAAACCACATGAATTTTAACAACAACTGTAATATGTAATAATAATATAATATTTAAAATCACTGTATACTATATATATATATATATATATATATATATATATATATATATATATATATATATATATATATATATATATATATATATATATATATATATATATATATATATATATATATATATATATATATATATATATATATATATATATATATATATATATATATATATATACACACACACACACACACACATATACGATATTCAAAATCATTACAGAGAAATTTCTGTATTACCTGTATCATTTTTTTTTTTTGTATTTTTCTTTAAATGTAAATAAATTAAATAATAATAATAATAATAATAATAATAATAATAATAATAAAAATGATATCCATGTGATGAAATTAAGAGATTAGTATTTAGGCTTAGAATTTAAAATTTATTGATAAATATTTTTCAATTTTAGGAATGATGACAAAACAGCACAAGATTATAAAGTATCTGGTGGTTCTGTACTTCATTTAGTGTTAGCGTTAAGGGGTGGATAATAACTGTTTTTGTGTATTTTTTGTATATATTTATGAAATAGTTGCATGCCATCTTAAAAGTTTTTTCTTATTATATTGACATCAAAAATTTTGCCTTAAATTATGTTGGAAATGAAAGTTTAGTAACATAATTTACTTAAAATGTAAATAAGGTTTCAAAATGTGGTTGAGTAATACCCAATCAAGCATTATATATTTTTAGTTTATGAATAAAACCTCAGAAAAACTCAATTTTTTATTTTTAATTTTGCTGAAGTTTTGATATTAAAACTAATTATTAAAAATATGGTGATATCATAAATAATATAGTTTAAAAGTATATTTTAGAAAGAATTGTTCTTTTTAAGTTTATTTATTTTTTAATAAAAATGATTGATTATGATATTAAATGAGCCACACTCATTTAACATCTTAATAATTTAACATTATCAAATGTAAAATTGAGTTATTGAAAAAAATATTAAAAAGTTTTTAAACAGTTTTAACAATATTAGAACAATTTAAATTGTTAAATATTTACATTTTTTTTTAATAAATACATTTTTAATGCATAGATTTTTTTTAATAAGTAGATGAGATTATACTTACAAATGATTGCATTGATATAAAAATATTATCAAAATAATTTTATAATTTTTACAAACACATACACACATACACGTACACATGCAAACATAATACATAAATACATATATACATACATACATACATACATACATACATACATACATACATACATACATACATACATACATACATACATACATACATACATACATACATACATATTGATAAGGGTCCCTATGTTGACATCAGGATTTTGATGTTCTGTCTATCATTACAACTAAAGTGTTTCACCTTATTTTTACATCCTGAAGAAGCTGAAGTTCCTTATGAAACATGCATTTTATGTACAAAGTTTTAACTTTTAAAAAGTAATTTGCAGAACATTATAATCAATTTTAATATTCTAAATCATTAAAATTTGCAATAATATATACAGAAATATTTACAATACAATATTGAGCTGAATGATTTGTCATTATAACCAAATTTATTGAATGTAGTTCATCATAATGATCATTATTACTAAAAATTTCATCTGATTTATAATAATGTGAATCACTACTTTCAACATACTCCTTTGAGGGGTTTGACTTTTTGTAAACAGCATGTATACTTAATCCATTGGCAAAAATAATAATGAAAGTAAACAACATTATGCATACTTAATCCATGGGCTGAATAATGATGAAAATGAACAATAATATGTATACTTAATCCATGGACTGAATAATGATGAAAATAAACAACAATATGTATACCTAATCCATGGACTGAATAATTATGAAAATAAACAACATGTATACTTAATTCATGGGCTGAATAATGATGAAAATAAATAACACTATGTATACTTAATTCATGGGTAGGGATTGCAATCCCGGGATCCCGAGATCCAGGGATCCCGGACGTTTTTGGGTCCCGAAAATCCCGGGATTCTAAACACAAAATCCCGGGATTTTTGGGATTATAGCAGGATTGAACTAATTAAATTATTTTGTAAAACAAAATGTTCAAAGTTGGTAACTATACTGAATTATAACGAGTTATATAATGCTGCTTTGCAGGTTTATCCTGTTTATGCTTTATCCTTACGATAAATGGAGCAAATTTTTGAATAGACCATGGAGTTCGGGATTTTATCATTGAAAAAAGTTTCACAAACACAAATTAAGGCAGGTTTGTTTGACTATTGTATAAAAAACAATCGTTAAGTTTGTTGGCAAGACTTCTTGCGTTAAAAAGATAAATTTTAAAATTGTTGAACGAATTTGTGGTTAAGTGATTGCTTGAGTTTATTAAGTCGTTTTGTTCATTTCAAAAAATATTTTTAGAGAATGAAAAAAATAAAAATGAACAAGTAATAAAAAAAAAATTATATCTAAAAAAATTTAATGATTACTACATAACAATTCCCTTTGGGATATTTCTAGCGATTTGTATAATTATATTTGCACAATTATTAGTTATTGCAACATTATAATGCCCTTGACAATTAATTCCACTTGAAGGAATTCTAGTGTGAATACATACAAAATTTGACTGTGGAATGAATTGTTTTGAACGTTTTGAACTGATAACCTTTTTAATGCTTTTGTTGTTTACCGCAATAATATGTTGTTTACTAATGCACCTTAAAAAAATATCCTTCTAAACATGAATGAAAACAGTGAAAAGGGAACATCATTTTTTCTATACAAAAAAGATAAAGACCCAACTTCAGTGTGGTCACATTATTTGAAGTCTGCGAATAATTTGGCAGTAAAATGTAAGAAATATGGTGTAATTTTGAAAACATTGGGTGGTTCTACAAAAGGCCTTCATACGCACTTATCAACTAAGCATAATTTGAAAGTAACTTCAGCCGACAAAAATTTACCTAGTTCGAGTCAACAGTTGAATGATGCCAGAACCGACGAGAAGCCTCCTAGGAAATAAAGAATAAAGAGTTACTTTGCATCCAAAAAAAAAAAAACCTTAGACGAAACACTGGCTCGAATGACAGCTTTAGTCTCTCAATATTAACAAACAACTTATTATGTTATTTTTTACAAAGTAGCTTGTTGCTACAGCAGCTACATCGGTACCCAAATTTAAGAAAATTTATGTTTACAAATTTATTTTGAAATTTTGATTGTATAGTTACATTAGTCAAATACACTTTAAATGTTCAAATGTTATTTACATATCCAATTATTTAATGAAGGTTATTCTGTAAAGTCTGTTATCTTAAAACATAATATGGAAGGTACCGTATATATATTTCTGCATTATTTTAAGATCTTTATATACACCTGCTGTCTGTTACACAATTAAAACAATTTAAGGCGCCGTAGAAAATTAATGTAAGTCTTTAAAACATAATGAAATTAAATAAAGAATTGATAACATCAAAAAGTATATTCATATATGCAGTATTAAGTTCTGTTTTTTAGCAAATAACTCACATTATATAAAATCCCGGGATACCGGGATTTTATTTACTTCAATCCCGAAATCCCGGGATCGTAATTCATGCCCTTCTTTAAAAACCTTTTGAGACATTAGATACAAAATAAATCATCTTGGGGTGTTGGGAATATCCTGAGACTCATCGTGTGTTAAAAGATCTAAATCTTGCAGTCAATTTCACCACTAGAATCCCATTGTCTTGGGATCTCATTTTATGACAAAATTTATAAAAATGCTAATAAACATTCTCCATTCCTAATAGTATTTAAAACTAACGATAATTCTCATTTATTTCCTCAATATTTTTAAATTCCTTTTTTTTAGTCATTTTTTTTTTTTCATTCATTTCGTCAATATTTCTTAATTCCTTTTTTTTAATCATTTTATTTATTTTAGTCATTTTGTCAATATTTTTCATTTCCATTTTATTAGTCATTTTTTTCTTTCGTTCATTTCCACAATATTTTTTAATTCCTTTTCTTCAGTCATTTGGTATTCTTTTCTTTTCTTCATTTTTCAATGGTATTTTTTCTTTTATTCACTTTTTTCAATGGTATTCTTTTTATGTGTTCATTTCCTCAATACTTTTTAATTCCTTTTTTTAGTCATTTTCTTTTCTTCATTCATTTCCTCATTATTTTTTAATTCCTTTTTTTTAGTCATTTTTTTTTGTTCATTCATTTCTTAGTTATTTTCATAGTATTTCCCATCCTAATTTTTAATTGCTTGCTAGGATTAAATTTGTTTAAAAAATTAATAAAAATTATTAAAACTTCTTAAGTATATTAAACATTTTCATATACTTTTTTCATTGTTATTTTGTGTATGTAATAGTTTTAATTTATTTTTACAGAATAAACCTATGAAAAGAATTTTTAAGTTGTATATTAAAATTGAATTAAAGTTTTTTAATTAAAAAATCTATTTTAATTCTTTATTTACCAATAAATAAAGAATTATAAAAGTAAAAGATATTGCTTTTATAACAATTCAAGAAATCATTTAAGAATAATTTCTTGATTCAAGAAATCATTTAGGAATAATTTCTTAATTCAAGAAATCATTTAAGAATAATTTCTTGATTCAAGAAATCATTTAAGAATAATTTCTTAATTCAAAAAATCATTTAAGAATATTTCTTGATTCAAGAAATCATTAAAAAATAATTTCTTAATTCAAGAAATCATTTAAAAATAATTTCTTAATTCAAGAAATCATTTAAAAATAATTTCTTGATTCAAGAAATCAATTCTTGATTCAAAAAATTTAAAAATAATTTCTTGTAGAATATAACTAATAATAACTAGAGATGTTTACCAATGATGCATGCTGTTACACAAAAGAAAACTTACTTGCAATCAAAGAAAAAGATAAAAAACAAAAAGTTTGATGTTATTACAAATGGTGAGTTATTTTGAATGTTTGAAACAAATTATTAAATAGTATATTTATTTTGATTTATTATTCATTTATTTTGTTCATATAATGAAAATCCAGTAATAGTATAGGTTTATTTACACCTATTAAAAATGGCATAAATTAAAAACAGCATAAGTTAAAGAATCATTACCAAATTCAGCGTCAAGATTGCATATTTTTTGTTTTCCACTTCTAGCAACATCTAGAAAAAAAGTTTTAATTGTTTACAGATTAACTTAAAACTGCAAATCAAAAAATAGCCAAATTTAAAAATATAATATTTGATCTGTAAATATTACACACAAAAAACTATAACAGATATAGGTGTGCACCGTTTTTATATATTTAGCACAATTGTAGTTTTAAAATGTCAACTTTAATACAGAATATTTTCTAGAAAAATAAGAAAAGAATTGTGCAAAAAATTATTTTGCGAATTTTAATGTACAGTTCTCCTCATGTCCTGGTGCTTTTTAAGATTTGTCTTTTTAGGCAAAATTAACTCTGATTTTAAATCTCCCCTTGGGTTTTATATATATATATATATATATATATATATATATATATATATATATATATATATATATATATATATATATATATATATATATATATATATATATATATATATATTATATATATATTTCAATTGGATTTAGGTCAAGAGATTGGCTAGGCCACCATTTCAGAGTTAGCATATTTTTTTCAATATATGCTTTGTTATATTTTGCAGTATGCTTAGGATCATTATCTTGTTGAAATAGATAGTTACCATAGTTACCATCTGGAAATAATTCAAAGCAACTTGGCTTTGCATTATGAACAAGGGTACTGTGGTACTGGTATTGATCCATATTGTCTTTAATCTTGTGAATCCTTCCTGTAGCATGCGCGGCAAAGCATCCCCATACGTTAATCTTTTTTTGATGCTTAACTGTGGCTTTTATATGTTCATGGTGATACTTTTCATTACTACGCCTCCAAACATGAAATCTTCGATTGCATCTAAAGCTAAAAGGAGACTCATCTGACCAAACAACTTGTCTCCATTGGGTAATAGTCCAGTCTTTATGCTCACTGCACCATTGAAGCCTACGTGCAATGTTGATTTTTGATAAAAGAGGTTTTTTGATAACCCAATGAGAATCTAAATTTTTACACTCATGTAAAAGACGAATTATGGTTTTTCCAGAAATATTGGGAATACCAGTTTCTGCTTTTATCCCATCTGTAGAAATACGGCAATTTTTAAGGGCAGCTTGGACAATGCGTCTATCTTCTCTTTTAGTAGTTTTTCTCTTTCTTCCTGATCCAGATTGACGGACTGTTTCTCCTGACTCCTTATACTTCTTTAGAAAATCAGTAACAGTACTTTTTCCGCATCCAACCTTACTTGTAATATCTCTATGAGTCATACCAAAGGATGACATCTCATAATTCTTCCTTTACTAATGTCATTTAAAACCATTTTTATATATTATATATTTATCTAGTCTAAAATGTAATAAATTAGCATATCTAATATAATAATATCTAAATTATCATATATATATATATATATATATATATATATATATATATATATATATATATATATATATATATATATATATATATATATATACATATATATATATATTTTATATAATATATATATATATATATATATATATATATATATATATATATATATATATAAATGTACATATATATATATATATATATATATATATATATATATATATATATATATATATATATATATATATATATATATATATATATATGTGTATATATATATATATATATATATATATATATATATATATATATATATGTGTATATATATATATATATATATATATATATATATATATATATATATATATATATGTATATATATATGTATTTATGTATATATATATTTATATTAAATGAGTTATAAGACATTTAAATAAACAAGAAATATGCAAAAAGTTGAGATATTGGTTTAAATATCTAAGAAATGCTTTATATAATATATATATATATATATATATATATATATATTTTATATATATATATATATATATATATATATATATATATATATATATATATATATATATATATATATATATATATGTATATATATATGTATATATATATATATATATATATATGTATATATATATATATATATATGTATGTGTATGTATATATATATCAGGCTTTCCCAGGAAAGGCGTGCGGTCGCACGCCTTGTTTGTCCACGCATAGAATAAATTTTTCTGACTAACTGACCACGTTTTATTATTATGCGTTTTAAGAATTCGCGCCAAAACAAAATACCGCAAAAATGCAAGCAATCTTAAAGTAAATAACAGAAATCTGTTTGTGCTTTAAAATTAAAAAATTAATGTATATTATTAAAAAAAAATTTACCTTTATTTTATTTATTTATTTTTTTCGGGTGGTAGTTATTTAAGCTATGAAAAATCAAATCAATAAGAAAAATCAAATCAAAAAGAAAAAGAATAATGTTTAAAGAAAATAAAAAGGACCTTTTAATGTAAAATTTGTTTATGACTTTCATCAGTCAGTAATACTTTAATATTCACGATAGAACTATAAACAATTTTTAAATGTTTCGTAAATATTTTTAAATGCTTAAATGTATTGATTTTAATGTTTGAATGTATTGATACGCAAGAAAACACAAAAACAATTGCTATTTATTAGTAAAATATGTTGTTGTTTTTTTTTAATGAAAGAAAATTTTATTGTCAAACGATTGAGTTGCTTATTTTGCAATCATTAATTGACATTGTGAACGAGTGTTAATATATAATAATGTCCCGAAGGAATTGTTTTCGTAACAATGACAACAGAAGCAATGCAACTATTTTTTTAACTTCTTTCGTAATTACAAAATTATGCAATTGAATAACTTCAACGTAATAAAAGGCGAGCATTGACTCAGTATAATCAGTTTAGAATAAGTCGAGAAAGAACTTTTTTCACATTAAAATTTTGTTATCTTTAAAATCTTAAATAATATATTTAATAATTAAAACAGCAATTTATTTTCTTGTCTATGTATTGGGGAATAAAGTCATTGCCTTTGCATAAACCTTCGTAACAACTAAATTAAATGAATAAGTTTTTTAATACATTGTCTGATAAAGTTTGTGAATAAATTACGTATCAAGTCTTTTTATTTTCGTGAAAACTTTATGACTTATAGTCGTCTTTTCCTTGACTTGTATCAAATTTCGTAGCTGAAAATAGCAACCCTAATAAAAGAAAACAACAGTATAAAAATTTTGAAAAAAGTGTTCAAGACTTTTTTTTTTTTGTTACAAAAATTTTTTTTTTTTAAATTTTTTTTTATTATCAAAATATTTTTCTTACATCCAATTTCAATTTTATACTTTGTTTAGACTTCGTTTCATTTTTTAATATTATTTTTTATTCTCTGTGGATAATTTCCGCTTTCTTACGAAATATTGCCGCGGTCACATTTTCTGAAAAATTTATTCTATGCGTGGACAAACAAGGCGTGCGACCGCACGCCTTTCCTGGGAAAGCCTGATATATATATATATATATATATAATATATATATATATAT